GATGCTAGATAGGGAAGGGAGGCTGACAGCCACACAACACGGCTTCCACAACAACAGGTCCTGCCAGACAAACCTTGTGGGATTCTATGACATGGTTGTGCGATGGCTAGATGGAGGGGATGCAGTGGATGATGGTTTACCTGGATTTCAGCAAGGCCTTCGACAAAGCGCCCCATAATATCCTGGTGGAGAAACTGAGCAGTTTTGGGATACACCAAAGCACTGTCCGGTGGATTAGGGCATGGCTGACTGACCGAAAGCAGAAGGTAACCATTAACGGGGAATCATCGGGATGGCAGCCAGTGGCAAGCGGGGTCCCCCGGGGCTCTGTCCTGGGGCCGATCCTGTTTAATCTTTTCATCAATGACATGGAAGAAGGGGTGAGCAGTCTGCTGATCAGATTCGCAGACGACACTAAAACTGGAGCAGTGGCCACAACTGAGGAGCAGGTACTCCAGATCCAAAAGGATCTGGACAGACTATGGAAGTGGGCAGGAGACAACAGGATGGCGTTCAATGTGGATAAGTGCAAGGTCTTGCACTTGGGGCATAGGAATGGGTGTCACAAGTACAGGTTAGGGGACAAGTGGCTGGACAGCAGCACTTGTGAAAGGGACCTCGGGGTGCTGGTCGACTGCAGGCTACACATGAGCCAGCAGTGTGATGTGGTGGTCAAGAGGGTGAACGCCACCCTTGGTTGCATAGCCCGAAGTGTGGCTTCTAGATCAAGAGAGGTATTACTACCACTCTACACGACTCTGGTGCACCCGCAACTGGAGTATTGTGCTCAGTTTTGGGCCCCTCATTACAGAAAGGATATAGCCTGGTTGGAGTCAGTGCAGCGAAGGGCCAGAAGGTTGGTGGCCGGTTTGCAGGGGGTGCCGTATGAGGCGAGACTGAGGGAACTGGGTCTCTTCAGCCTGGAGAAGAGGAGACTCAGAGGGGATCTGTTGGCGACATGCAGGTATGTGAGGGGGTGTCACACAGAGGTGGGAGAGACCTGTTCTCCCCTGCAGAGGAGGGCAGGACGCGCTTCAACGGAGCCAAGCTCAGGGAACCAAGGTTCAGTTGGGATGCCAGGAAGCACTTCCTGACAGTCAGGACCCCAAGGGTGTGGAATAGGCTTCCATGAGAGGTCGTTGGGACCCCATTGGTGCGGGTGTTCAAGGATAGGCTGGACATCCACATGGTGGGCTTGTCGTGAGTGGAGCCGGCTGGTGCCAGAGGTCAGACTAGATGGCCTGGGAGGCCCCTTCTGACTCGCTCTGTTTTCTATGTTTCTATGTTTCTGCTCTTGATGGATTGTACTTCTTAAAGTATGATACTAACGTGATGCCTATCTTGCCTCTCCTATGGAAAATCTGCTTCATTTTCATGTGTTGTTTCTGAGTTTACAAACCTCCATCAGTTATCTCAGTTTGCTGAGATAAGGAATTGATTTGAGATGTGAAAATTTGGCATATGATTAGGTTTTTGGTATCAACGTTGTCTGTGACAGGGAAAACTAGACTCAAATGTTTATCTGTTCAGCCATTACTCAGGAAACATGTTGGTGTAAAATGGCCATGTTGCTTCTTCTGAATACCCTATTTTGAACAAGTTTGCTAGTCTTGTTTAAAGTATAATCCTGTAGGTCTATTGCTAAGCCATTTCAGCATTTCTTTACTTATCAGCTTCTAGAATGATTTGAACCTTTGCCTTGCTTGTTTTTTTTACTGTCCCTAGTTCTTTGTTAACTGCAGAAGGCACAGGAATGTGAATTTATTGGTACCAGAGGTAAAGATAATTCTGCTGATCTCTTAGCGATAGTCTAGGGCCAGACCCTTCTCCCCTTGTTGGCCTTAAAACCTTGGTTTGATGCTGTATCTACACTGGCATTTGATATCAGGATTTAAAGTAGGTCTGCAAGTATCTTGCTAAGTGGAAACCTAGTTCATGTTAATCATGATTTCCTTGTCAAAATGGAAATTTTGAAGCCATGAAAATGTTATTTTAATGCCCTTAGACCCCGCACCACCCTTAAGGGTGAGAAAATCAGATGTAAACTTATTTTACTGCTTTAACATCATAAAATGCATTGGGTGGATCCAAGGGGTGCCTTCTGTTGACAAATACCTATCAGTGAAAGAGGGCAGGGGGCCTCTCTCCCTTCCACCCACAGCCCCCCTGCCTCATGAATCTGTTCTCTATGGATAGAGGGTCCTCTGGAACAAATTTTGTGTGGGCCCATACTCCAGAAATCTACCAGTAAATCCTGTTCTACCTTCATTTCATCCCTGGTCCACGAAGATGTAGCCTTCAGTAGTCCAAGTACCTGGTATCAAGTTGAACTTAACTAGCGTATATACAGGAATTATCATTCTTTTTGTAGTAGTAGATGACCGTGCGTAATAAATCTTTGTGCTGCATATTTTAAGTAAGTAAAGCCTTGTCTTAAAGCATTTCATTCTTTCTAAAACAGATTGCATGAAGTTTTTTCACTGTTTTCCTCCAACCTTTGAATTTCCATATTAGAAAATGTGTCTTGGGGCAAGACAGGAAAAGCCTTCCTCAATTTCTGTCTCTCCGTCTCGAGGCCTTTGCTTCACTAAAGTTTCTAGCATAAGGTGCGTAAAGCATGGTTTAAGCCAAAAAAGTGCAGACTAGAGAACTCATTCCAGGAAAGTGAGGAGGAAGGCGTGGTTAACAGCTTGTCATGTTACGTCTGCAGTAGGCATTGAATGCAGAAGTCTCAAACAAGTACTATGGGATGCCTGGGAATTGCGAACCTAATTTTGAATATTTGTTTTAGCCCAAGCTGCTCTTGAGACTGGTAAAGCCAGTGGCCATAATAATCTAGAATCTGCCACATTTAAGTAGATCTGAAACAGCCTTAGTGCTAGTGATGCAAAAGGTTTCTTTCCGTGCCAACTCTTTCCCCACTCTCTCAACATTTTTCAGAGAAGTGAAAGCTTGGACCAGAATTCTTTGTGATCTTTTGACAGATTTCCCTTCGCGCAGCCAAGGCTCATTGCAGGCTGCATGCTTTTCTATATTTGGTTTTGTTTAATTTGATGATAGAACACTGTGCCGTGGAGCATTGTGGCTACATTACACCAGCAGAAGCTGTTGCTCTTTGTGATGCCAATGCTAGGACAACTTTAAAGTCAGCTGTGCCTGTTTTTCCCTCTGTTTCAGAAATTTGGAGAGATTATGTGTTTCTCAGAAACAGTTCTTAAAACATTCTTTATTGAGCAGCCCAGTCTTGTGAGCTTAATTTAGCTGCTGTGATATGAAGTCTTCCTCATGACAGTGAAAGCAGTTTTCTTTTATTTAGGAGGGGAAGTAGAGAAGCTCTTGAACCGCTTATCATAGCACTCCTCTTGCTTTAAGAGCATAGGATTCTGTCACAACTCCTGGTGCTCATTTAAAACTGCTCCTGGGCACCCCAAAATCTCACTAAACACAGGTAAATTCTGTGACCTGCAAGCTGACATTGAGGACATACTTATCACCCCGTATGTTCAGTTTTGTTAATCTGGTAGGGGCAAAAAGCATCACGGTACCCACAAGTACTAGAAATCCGGTTTGTCCAGCATTCCAGGATCACAGCAGGCCGGTCACCCATACATCTTCAAGCTTACCTTCACAGCCATGACTGGAAGCCCATTTTTTGTAATGCACCCCAAGATCCTTAGAAAGCTGGCTTGAGTCCTGGCCTGGTGCCATGCCTTAGGTTTCTGTGGCATTGTGTCATTTGCTCAGCCATGTTTCCCAGGACTGCTCCTAGCTCTCTTCCCAGCTGTCTTGTGTAGCTCAGCTGTGCTCCATGGAACCCTGTGGGAGCATCGCCTGCATTTTGTTATTGGTGCAATGAGATAACACTGCAGCAGCAAGCTTAGCTTTGAACCCGCTGAAAACTTGGAAGGTTTTTACCCCATTCTCCAGCCCAGCATGGGCTCCCAGAGTGGTATCTGTCACTGCTTCTGCTGGTTGCCGGTACATTTTCTGGTTGAATTCAGAGTGCCTGCTGTTAACAATTCAGGCCTTAAATGAATGTGGTACCCCACACAAAAGTAGACAATCTGGTGTCCTCCAGGCCTCCCGCTAGTCCCAGCCAGCATGACCAGTTGTCAAGGATTATGGGAATTGTTTGACAAATTAACTGGGGGTGGGGGTGGGCATCAGGTTATCTACCTCTAGCTTAAAGGCATGTCTTTCCATATGGTTCTGTTCTTACTTTAAGATAGCTCTGGTTGCCTCGTTTTAGCCTCTCAGTTTTAAGTTGAATGTTAAAAATTGTGTATTATTGTACAAGTTTAAAACTGAGTGTACCAACTAGGGGACCTTCTATGAAGGTACAGTTTAGAAAATGAAACGAGAAAGTGCTCTTTTACCATGACTGGGGTGTCTAGTTTAGCATGTAGATTTGTTTTTTTATGCTTTGTGAGGGTATGACACTGAAGGCCTATATATACACGAAAACATAAGGCGTTATTCTATGGGTTTGCAGTGTGGTACATAGAAACAGAGTGAGTCAGAAGGGGCTTCCTGGGCCCTCTAGTCTGACCCCCAGCTCCAGCTGGCTCCACTCATGACATGCCCACCATGTGCATGTACCTTCTAGAGATTTTAGATGACAGCTTCCTTGTGCTTTAGGCAGCGTGGCCCCTAGTCAGGAATTTTGGGAGTTGTGATGCAAAAAATCTGGAGAGTGTAGAGTTGCCTAACCTTGCCTTATTCATTGCTTAGTCTCCAAGAGTGTGTGCCATAAATTTCCATATAGCACAGCAGGACTTATGCCATTCCAGAGTATTGCAAGAATACCTCTTCTGGTGAATGAGATAAGTTATGGAAGTGGGAGTAATTGGTACCGTTCTGTTAATGGCCTTGCAGAAATCTGGCTTGCTGTAGTGAAACAAAGAGTTGTAAACATCTCTGGATGATGCTGAAAAACTAAGTAGACTGATGCAGTTCAGTTATTCAATTTAGTTGCTCAACTTGTACCTTTGCTCTCCTAGATGTCAAGAGGGATTGGTCTGACCATGCCTTGTGGTGGGAAAAGAAGAAAACCTGGCTCCTTAAAACCCACTGGACCCTGGATAAATATGGAATACAGGCAGATGCGAAGCTGCAGTTCACTCCACAGCACAAGTTGCTCCGACTCCAACTTCCCAACATGAAGTATGTGAAAGTGAAAGTGAACTTCTCTGACAGAGTCTTCAAGGCGGTATCTGACATCTGCAAGACCTTTAGTGAGTATCAAATGGTGATGGAGCCAAGTGGTGCCTCTTCTCACCTCCAGGTTTAGTTGATCTCCCAGTGGCCGTTTAGTAATGCGGCACTTAGCGGAAGGGTCAGCCTTCCAACGAGTCTGGATCAGTCTGTCTTCCTCTGGTTTGGTGACTCAAGCTGAGGGCCTGGCATCGCATGAGAGACTTCTGAAAAGAGGAAAGAGCAGCTTTCAGCTGACTGGACGGGCCAAATGTCTGCCACATGGCGGAAACCATGGCAGCCTCTGTCTTTCCTTAGCATGTGGTATGTCAGTTGCGGTGCTTGTATATATGGGTTTTCCTTACTTTGTGGTATTTATTCCCCACCTTTCGTTAATATTTTTATAAATCCTGGATGTCTTCTGGGGTTTTAAATGCCACTGTATAGCCATTTGGTCAGTTATAAGTAAAGTTACAATGAATTGAACTGAGGCCATCTCAAAAAAAAAAAAAAAAAGGACTATATTAAATGGTACTTGTTGCTTTGGAGTCATTATTTAGTGTCAACTGAATTTTAGGAAAGTTTGATTCCGTATCAGAAACGATGTTCTCAAATTGAGGTAAATCTCTGTGGGTGTTATATACGTCGAACTTGTATTTAAACTCAAGAAATATCTTCAGTTGAAGACTCTGGGAAATGAGAACAGGTTATTAGGTGTATTAACTTAAGTCTTATTATGAGAAGAGAGTATCATCCTAAGATAAATCTTTACTGAAAGGTTGTTCTTTCCCCACAGATCATAGGTGACTAGCTCAAGTTAAAATGAGGCCCCATCGGTGCGGGTGTTCAAGGATAGGCTGGACATGCACATGGTGGGCATGTCTTGAGCGGAGCCGGCTGGAGCCGGAGGTCAGACTAGATGGCCTGGGAGGCCCCTTCTGACTCGCTCTGTTTCTATGTCTCTAAAATATGGGTGTCTCAGAACTGGCACATAGAGGGTCTTTTTTATAACATGCTGGCCTTTGCTTTGTTTGTGCTGGCCCTTGCTGCTCTTTCTTGAGATTGTCTTGTTGATTAATTTCTGTTTTAGTGAATGGTGTGTGTGTGCTTTCTAAACTGCTGACTGCTTTCCCGAAGGCTAAAATAGTGTGGAATGGGGAAGCAAGTTTCCTTGGGATTGCCAATGGGATGAAAAGTTGCCTTCTAGTGACTTGTCATCCAGACTCAAAATAGCTCACCTGTGCACCTGCTGGTAAAATCTCTCCCCCCTCCCCCTCCCTTCCCACACACACACACACACACACACACACACACACACACACACATGTGCAGTCTCTGACATGATTCTAATGGCATCCTGGGTCCTTTAGATTTATACAGAAGCCGAACTGATAAAAGTCAACGTTTACCTCTGGCTCATAAAACATCTTACCTGTCATCAGCAAAAGATCAGCACTGTGCCAGCAAAGAGCACTAGCTAATGCACTCATCCTTGCTGAGTGCTTGGTACTTCTGCCAAACCATAAAAGCAGGGGCATCCTTGACTAGTCAAGCACATTTCTATTTATTTGTGGTGAGGCCATGCGCTTCTCTCACCTACTCAGTTTTGCAGGGAGAAGATGAGGGAGCAGCCTTCACTTTGTCGCTCATGTGCAGCTCCAGAAGAGTTTTTGTAGTCAAAGGGAAACTGAAAATTCTTTGGCCTTTTCTGCAGAGGGGAGTTTGCAAGCGTGATGGGAAAAATCCCCATGTTAGGATATAGCTGTTTTTCAGCCGAATATCCCAATCTACTGTTAACAGACTGTAGCAGCCTTAATTTTGTTTGTTTTTTTCCTGTCTACTTTTGTGATTAGTGTCTTCTGCTAACTGGTGTCAGTTTTGCACAAGCTTCCTTAACTCAAGGCCAGTAGTAAAAGGAAATCTAAACTGGAGTCTGCAACCAAAATCTGTAACTTGAGCTTTGTCATAATAAATCTTCCTGTTTTTAAAATAAAAAGGGATTATTCTTGGCTGACCTGTTTCTGTCAGGAGACAGGAAGTGAGCCACTATATGCAAACCATTATAGAATGGAAGTGGTATTTGCAAATTAAAGATCTTCAGACTTCTGGTTTTATTAAAAATGAGAGATTAAATAGACGGTAAAATATTCTTGTTAAGAAAAGATAGTTTTAAAACCCCTTTATTTCACTTTAGATGATTGTCCACTCCCATCCTGATGGCTGGGATAGCAAACCTGGGAAAATTTAAGTGTAAGAACAAGCAAACCCAGCGAAGTAGAACAAAACAGTGTTTTATTAAAATAGTTGGGGTGGGGGGGGGCAGGAACTACCTTATGGCCTTCAAGACTGTGAAGGCAGAATATTGGATGGCAGTCCCTTATAACGCACCCCCCCCCATTCAATCTTGATTCAGATGTCTCTCTAGAAGGAGGGAATGCATAAATGTGGGGAGGGGGTAGCAGTCACCAGGAACCCCTTTCTATACCTTTGCAGTTCTGATTCTGACAATGTAGTATCTGTGCAAAGTGGTTGATCTGAGATTGTAACCAGGCATTGGAGGGCAACCGTTTTGGAGGCTTGTTGGAACTGGACCTGCCTGAGTGCTGTGATAATCTTCCGAGGCCCGCCTCTGCGCCGAGTGATCGCGGAAGGGCCCATTGGATGTCGGTGCACATGGGCGGAACTTGCTCTCGCCAAAGCATCTTTTCTGGGCCTGGTCAAAACATTGTTGTTCCCTCAGACCTCTTAATCTGTTTCTGGATTTGAGAGTCGTCGCTTTACATTGCTCTACTGGTTTTGGTCATCTTTTGGATATTTTTTTCCTTTTTACACATTAGGGTTAAACCAAAGGACAGGACATCAGATAAGTCGTTTGGGGCTTTATTATTAAATCCAGTGTCATGAATATGCTCAGGGTTTCAAAGTCCTGGTGAGTTGTCCTCCCGATAAAGTTGCCCTTGTTTGGAGTCCTGGATTTTAAAGGGAGGGATATATAACTGATGAAGTGGACAAGATGCTTGGGGTGGTACGCCCAACCACCTGTTTACTCGACCCTTGCCCTTCTTGGCTACTTACGAAAGCCAGTCACGGGATTGGTCCCTGGGTCCAAGAGGTCATCAACGCCTCACTGAAGGAGGGCCGGGTCCCTGCCCCTTTAAAGGAGGCAGTGATCAGGCCCATCCTGAAGAAGGCGTCCCTGGACCCAGAGGTGACCGCCAATTATAGACGGTGGCCAACATCCCATTTTTGGCAAGGTGTTGGGGCAGGTGGTGGCAGGACAACTCCAGGTTCTCTTGAATGAAACAGATTATCTGGACCCATTTCAGTCCGGCTTCAGACCCAGTTACGGTACTGAATCTGCCTTGGTCACCCTGTACGATGACCTATGCAGGGAGAGGGACGGGGCAGTGTGACCTTGTTGCTTCTCCTGGACCTCTCAGCCACTTTCCATACCATCAACCATGGTATCCTTCTGGATAGGTTGGCCGGGCTAGGAGTTGGGGACTCTGCTTGGCAGTGGTTCCACTCCTACCTAGCCGGCCAATTCCAGAAGGTGGTGCTGGGGGACTATGGCTCTGCACCATGGCAGCTATTTTGGCAGGGCTGTTTTGTCCCCCATGCTTTTTAACATCTACATGAAACCGCTGGGAGAGGTCATCAGGAGGTGTGGGCTGCGGAGTCATCAGTACGCTGATGACACCCAGCTCTGCCTCTCCTTTTCAACTAACCCAGGTGAGGCAGTGGCTGTGCTGAACAGTGCCTGGCCGAGGCAATGGGCTGGATGAGGGCCAGTAAACTGAGACTCAATCCAGATAAGACGGAGGTCCTGTTGGTGGGTGGTTCAGGTTTTCAGGTAAGTGATTTTGGTCCTGTCCTGGACCGGGTAGCACTCTCTCTAAAGGACAGGATCCACAGCTTGGGAGTGCTCCTTGACCCGGAGCTATCCCCGGAAATACAGGTGACTGCAGTGGCAAGGAGTGCTTTTGCTCCAGCTTCGGCTGGTTCATCAGCTGTGTCCTTACCTGGACGAGCACTGCCTAGGAATGGTGATTCATGCCCTGGTAACTTCCTGGTTGGATTATTGCAATGCGCTTTACGTGGGGCTGCCCTTGAAAATGGTCCAGATACTTCAATTGGTACAAAATAGAGCTGCCAAGTTGCTGTTGGGAACCGGTTGTTATTCTCATATAATGCCAGTCCTTTATCAGTCCTTTATCAGCTTCACTGGCTCCCAGTTGAAGCCCGGGCCCAATTCTAGGTGCTAGTATTAACCTATAAAGCCCTAAACGGCTTATGTCCAGAATACCTGAAGGATCGCCTCCTTCCCTACAAGCCCACACGCCCCTTAAGATCAGTGGGGGAGTTCTTGCTCTGGGAACCTTCTCTGGAGGAAGTACGGAGGATGTCCGCCCGGAGGAATTTGTTCCCCAGAGAGGTCTGCCTGGCACCGACATTATACTCTTTCCGGTGCCAGATAAAGACCTTTTTATTCAACCATTATTTTAATAATCAACACTTCTAGATGTTTCAGGATTTTTTCCCTTCACAGTCACACTTTCTATTTTTTCCTCCTTTTTCTTAAGTTCATGATGTGTTTTATATTGTTTTAATAATTGAGGTTTCATACTGTACTTTTGTATTTTATATTATACTTTTATATTTTGTTAGCTGTCCTGAGCGCTTGATGATAGGATGGGATATAAATGCCTGTAATAAATAAATAAATGCTAACAGTTTGCCTAGTAGTTTTATATAAGAAGGGGATGAGGAAAGTCAGCCTCTTCACCCAGGTGGCAAAGATAAGTCTAAAATGCTGCCAAGATGTGGGATAATCTCAAATGCTAAAACTTGATGAAGGCACTTAAATCCACTACTTTTCTGAGCCTGCCATGGAACGGGCAGTGGCTTAATGGCAGAACACGAGTTTTGCTTTTAGAAGGTCCTGGGTTCTGTATCTCCAGGTAGGATCAGAGAGAATCCTGCCTGAAAACCTGGAGAGCGACTGTAAGCCAGTGGCTCCGCATTGCGGGACGGATGGACC